CACCAGCCCCGCTACCAATTACAAAGCCAATGCTGCCCAGCCTTGGGCATCAAAGCGGCCCTTTCCCCAAGCCGAAAGTTCCTCTGCGGGTGACGTTCCTGGCGAGAGAGAGCGGAGTCTACTATTGACAACCCTAAACCCTAAACCCTAAAACCCTAAACCCCCCTAAGCCCTAAGCCCTAAACCCCCCTAAGCCCTAAAGCCCCCACTTGAAGGTTCCCTCGGGGCGGCTGCCGGAGCCTTGGGCTCTGCAGGTCTTCCGCCCAGGAGGCCTCGGAGTCCGGGGTTTAGGGTTTAGGGCTTAAGGTGTAGGGTTTAGGGCTTAAGGTGCAGGGTTTAGGGCTTAAGGTGTAGGGTTTCGGGCTTGAGGTGTAGGGTTCAGGGTTTAAGGTGTAGGGTTTAGGGCTTAGGGTTTAAGGTGTAGGGTTTAGGGTTCAGGGTTTAATGTGTAGGGTTTAGGGTTCAGGGTTTAAGGTGTAGGGTTTCGGGTTTAAGGTGTAGGGTTTAGGGTTTAGGGTTCAGGGTTTAAGGTTTGGGGTTGTAGTATTAGGGAGACTCGTTAAAGGGGACCCTTCTTAACCGTACTTGTGTATCTCTTCAAAGGGACGTTGTTGAGAGCGTCTATACGCCCAAGGGTCCCCCTAATCCTAATTCCTATGGCGTGCTGCACGAAGTGTGCTTTTGGGGGGTTTACTGTAAGGGTTCCTTTGAGGGATCCATAAGGGGTACGATAAGGGTACTATAGGGTGTTGGGGGTGGGTTTAGGGTTCAAGTTACCTGAAGGGTTCTACAATATTTTGCCAAGGGACCCAGACCCTTCCTTTGGGTGGTTCTGTAAGCATCTAGTATGGGGACGTTAATAAGAAAAAACAGCTGTTCTCTATTGTGAGGGGGTTTAGGGGGTTCTTTTCTCGTATAACTACAAGAATCCTGAGTCGTGAGTGTTCAGGCCTATGCAGTAACCGGAGCGGTCATGAGCATCCAGCATTTCTACGAGTATAGAGCTGTTTCGGGACTAGAAATGGAGGTTGCTCCTATCAATTCAGGCCAAAAGCTAGGAACAAGGATTATATTCGTGTTGCCATTCTCTGGAGACTATCTTAGTGAGAATGCTCGTCGTTCTGATATTCTGAACATCACAGCGCCGGCAAGAACAAAATCTCGCAAAGGCTTCCAGTTGGCTTTGCACGTCCTCTCCCTTTGCGCACCACATCTTCAGCCATCCTGGGCTTAGGGTGAAAGGCCGCATAATGTAGGGGCCTTCATGATTAGAATAGGGCTTTGGTGTATCGTATAGTATAAATTATGACAGGGACCCCAAATAGTAGTATCATGAGGTTCAGGGTCGTGGTTTCGGGATTGGTGCGTTTTTTGGCCTCAGCTTCGGCATGCCAGGTTGGCTATATGCGGACAGCTGGCTGGATGTCACAGACCTCGTCGTGAACTCGGCAGCACCGCGGCGTCGCACAGGGGCTTCATTTGCAGGTCGGTGAGAGTTGCCTCTTCCCGCTCTTGAGTCTTGAGTCTGTTGTTGCTCAATGATCAGAGAGTTCTTGGCGGTGCAAACAGTATACGGTCCGGGCCGCGAGAGGGCAGCATGCACAAAGATAGACTCGATCATCCTAAATCGTGAAACCCAAAAGCCCAAAGTTCTAAGACTCCAAAACCCTCAGCCTTTCACCCGCCAAAATCCTTCCGCCTAAACCCTTCCCCGGTAACGCCTAAATTCCTCAGACCCTGTAAGCACTAAAACTCCAAGCCCCAGAACCCCCGAGCCCTAAAACCATAGGGCCCTTTAAACGGCTACGTAAACACCAAAATAGGCTCTACAACACGAACGGTTCTAAACCCCCTAGACCTTATATTCAGCCCTAAACCCTGATCCTTAACCTCTACACCCGAAGCCCAACAACGCTAAACCCTAATCCTTCACCCCTACACCATACACCCTAAAGCCCTAAACCCTAAACCCCTAAGCCCCTAAACCCCGAAACCCCGA